CACATACACAGAGCGAGAGCCAACCAACAGCGCGATACGTCCAATGAGGCGTCAGACAGATGTCACTTGGCTCTATTCAAATCAGACTGAATAGGTTAAAGTGGGATGTCTAATTTACTCGTTTATCTTGTCGACGGTAAACGGTGGCACGTCCATTTGCATATGGTGTCATGGGAGTTTACATATCCCTACATTTTTTTTTCTCGTGTGGAAATGCTTGGATGCGTGAGTCAGATCACCACCATAAGAAACTGTCTTTAGCATTGTGCAAGGCCAGATTTATATCTATTTACTGCACTTATTTGGGCATAGGGAGGGAAGACACTTTCACTAAAGGAGTTGTTCACTAAAAAAATTGAATCTCTAAGATGAGGGTTTCTGATCAATTCGTTCTAGATATCGAAATTGTCCGAGCTACTCAGTTTGTAAAGTTGTCTGCAAGTAAATGAAATTGGATAAATCTACTCGAGCTTGTGATTTGTGGAGACCTTTAGGATGATAGATGAAAACTGCATGGAATCCATCGCTCACACGTTTATGAGTAGAATGAACGTTTCAATGTTCAAGAATATGAAAATATAGACAAAATGAATTATTATTTAGCCAATCCTTAACCCTATTCCTGGCGGGCTCCGCCGGGACAAGAAACTGGCGGGGGGGGGGGCCGATTCGGCCCCCCCCCTGAGATCTCGAGAACGAAGCAAGATAGCGACAAGCGGTAAACGGCATCGGATACGCACGGCCAAGATCTACAATTTTTACGAAGGTCATTTTCAGGTCAGGTCAAAGATGACGTCACAGGGGTCGAAAAAGTCAAAATGGCGGCGCTAGATATGGAGAGTGTTTTTCTCGAATAACTTTCGAATTAGTCAAGATAGGAACAAACTAAGGGCATCATCGTGATCCTCTCGTCAATCCGCATCGAATGATATATATGTTGACCTCGAAAGGTCAAGGTCAAAGGTTGACCTCAGGTCACGTGACCTCGAGGTCATCATGTATATCATTCGATGCGTCTTGACGAGCTGAACACAATGAGACCATCCACGCGTCTGTATCTTGTTCCTGTACGGAGTTATTGGCCAAAAACCGTTGGTGACCTTTGATGACGTCACATGACCTCACAGCTGCCCAACAGCAAAACAGACCTCAAGGTAGTGAAGGTTGATCGTATATGAAGTCATGTATGGTATATGGGGCCATTCCGACCCGTTTTAGTGGTAAAAACAGGGAGTTGATTTTTCCCCCATTGACTTATAATGGGGAGGTCGCGAAATTGACCTGACCTTAGGTCACCGATATCAAAATTCCGAGATATACAAATTGCACATACTGGTACCCTAACTAAACCCTGAAGAGAAGAAATTGATCGGTCAAAAACTCTAGCTCTGGCGTGATTGCAAACTTTTCTGAGGTAGCGTCACCAAACCGCCTCTGGTGACCTGACCTGAGGTCAGATCAACTCAAAATTTTCAGACATGTTGCGTAGAAGCCTTTTAGGAAAAGTCAGAAAATTTGAGCTTCCTAGCTCAACGCGTTTGGGAGATATAACCAAAAAACCTCAGGGGGGGGGGGGGCTCCTGAGGCCCCCCCCCGCCAGGAATAGGGTTAAGCCAAACAAGGAGCGCCTTCGACCCAGCGCAGCGCATTCATCGGCCCCATCCGACGCCACAGTCTAACGCTATTAGACACAGCGTCCTGACGCCGCTCCGGCGGGACAGGACCCGCTGTCTGCTTGTCTGCGGGGTCGTGGGCACAACAAAGGCGCCGCTGACTCATGGCATCTGTCGTCCTCTCTCCCTCCCCGGCGACGGTGCGGTGTCGCCACGCCGTGTCACCAAGACTCCAGGGCAGGACGGCGGGGCAGAGGGTCTTTGTCCGCCTCCCCCGCTCCAGATGGAGTGGTGAGAATGATGCTCGGACACGGGGAGGGGCAGAGAGGTAGGTCTACGATGACCACACCGCGCGGAATGCACGGAGGCAAGGACTCGGAGATAGGTTTTGGGAGGAGTGGGTGAGTGACTGGAGCGTGAGGGCACGTCTACAGGCGAAGAATGGAATCAAACCTAGCCCGCTGGACGGGTGCATATGTGAATATGCTGAACATTTTTCTTTTTTATTCTGAAATGCTTATAACACTTTTTCTACACTTTACCGTCTCCTAAAAGCTACGCATGTGGGCTACATCAATTAATCCAATGGTTGAGCGGCAGAGTCCGGAGCAAACACCGTTCTGTCCCGACCCTCGGAGGCTGGATGCTGGTAAGACCGTTCCACGACATTGGCGCATCTCTGGAGGCGGCCCGAGCTCCTCAGCCAATCAGCGCCCGACAGCCGCCGACACCGAAGCTCTCGACCAATCAGCAGTGACGTCTTGAGAAAAGGCCGGCGCGTCTCTGGGAAAGACGCCACTGCGATGGCGGACACCTTGGCGACAATGGGATAGAGGCCGCCCGGCGCAGTGGCAGGCAGACGCCGCGATGTGACGCTGGGCGGTGCCGGTGTGGGGACGGGGGCGGACCGTTCACTAGGCGGTGTGCGGACGGGGTCTCCGCCGCGCTGCAGGTCGAGGCCACCAGATGATCAGACGGGACGCGGTGACCCACTTTCCCTGGACCGCGCCGGGATCGGACTGGGGGTAGGGGCAATGGCTGGGGACTGGGGGTGAGGCAGTGAATGGAGGAGCAATGGCGAGAGAGAGAAGAGAGAGAGAGAGAGAGAGAGAGAGAGAGAGAGAGAGAGAGAGAGAGAGAGAGAGAGAGATCGCGCAAGGGATAATTATTGGGTACTCCATCAGGCACCACGGCAGACTCATAAGATCAAAAGCCGACTAAAAACCGAGTTAGTTATGCAGACTGAGCTGTGAGCAGAGAACGTCATAGGTCATCCGGGTCTATGTAAATTAGGTGTGTTTTGTGCTAATGGGGGACGAAGCGTTCAACTTATTGAGGTGTTAAGCACGCACTTGACTGAGCCTCCAGTCGAAATCGACTCCAGTTTTCAAATTATCTGCGAGTGCGTGAGGATCATCAGCATCTGCACAAGGGCCCCTCTGCAAGGGTCGGCCATCGCGTCCTCTGTGCACTAATTCTACCGGTCGTTTTTTTTTTCTCTCTCAAAAATTTCAAATTTTTTGTTTAGTCAAAAAAAGAGTTATTTTTTTACATGTCATAGCTAGAAGACCTTGTCTAAATTATGTCACAAAAAGTGAGTAGCGACTGGAGAAAGGCAAGAGTTAACCAGCGCCGGACCTATTGGTTTCCTACATACACGCTGGCCGAGGGGGGGGGGCGGGTACGAACTCATTCACCGTTTCGCCCCTGATGGAGCTAGAGCGTCGCGGAAAAAACGAGCGTGTGCGTCGTTATGAGACGCAGCGATTGGTACTCAATTTGAAGGTCTCAGGGCAACCGGTGACCTCTGAGGTCAGGTCAAGTGGCCCGAGGTACGGGTTCGGTTTTTGGCAAATAACTTCGCAACATGGTGTGTCAAAAGTGGAAATAGCCGCCCGGCTTTAGTTCGCCAGCCTTGTCAATAGATGGCAGTACCACAATATGGGCAGCGGATCGTGCAATGGACGTCAAATTTTCTTTATCTGCTAAGAATTGAATGGCGGATCTTTTCATGCAAGAATCAAGTAAATCGGTCCACAACTTTTCTAGCAACAGGGATATGTAATGAAGTCAAACACCCTGCCAGAGCGGCGGCGCGGCGGCCGGCGGCGGCCGTTACGCGCCGCCTGGGAGACTGGCGGCGCTGAACGGTTCCGACTTGGCACTGCACTAAAACCTGTTAACTGCTTGGAATAGTTATTATAGCAAAATTTTCATTCAAGTAAGGAATAAACAAGGGCAGGAAGTACGTATGCTTGTGTGCTACTGTGTAAGCCAAGAAACTGCATTAGCAGATACTCGCTAATATTAGATCCAGCCAAGTCCAAATGCATTCCAGGGGATGTGTTTCTGACGGGTCAACAATATTTATCGTTCGATGGCGGATACAGTTTTAGCGATACAAAAAATGTTTTTGCACAGCTCTATTCCTTGAATAATTCTCTTCAACGCCTCATTCCTAGTTAAGCGAATTAGCCCATCCTGGTTAAATAAATAAGGCGATTTCGCCACAAGGTCGCGGAAAACCGACCGAAAACGGCCGCGCTCAACGTTAATTTAGGCATGCAGACTCGTAAAAACTCGCATTGGGCGGGAAGGGTTTCCCAGGTATTGGCTCCAAAACACCGTATTCGGCTCCCGAATATGTCCAAGTGACCCGCCTCGTTCCTAGTTAAGCTCTAATTAGATCAAGTGATTCATAAGGAGCGAAAAAGCGACAAAAAGCATGAATTTCCCTATGGCGGCGGGCTGCCGGGTTGCCAGACGGCGCACCGGCTATTTCCACTTTTGACACACCATGAGAAATGGCCAGAGAGCTGCGATTTTGACAGCAGTCAGCATCGTGTTCGCCTTGCTCAAGCGCGTCGAATGGTAAACTTTTTTTTGGGTGAGGTCAACTTGAGGTGTTGACCTTGGGTCACTGTCAGGTCAGTGCCTCCAGGTCACTAACTTGGTCGAAGGAGGTCATGTCGCATAGCATCCGATTCGGCAGGTCTTCCCGAGTCCATTGGTGGCTTTCCCGACTCGCTAGTTCAATTTGATCGGGAGTCATTGACGAAAAACTCTTAACAATGGAAAAGTGGAGCATCAAAACTTGCAGAAATGCATGAGATATAGTTTGAGATCGTTCCCGGCGCCAAAATATTAGTTTTATTTTTTTTTCCATTGACATATAATGGTGAGGTCACGAAACTGATCGACCTTATGTGACTTTTAGAAAAATCAGAGATATACAAGTTGTGAGACCTCTAATGGATATAAGGTTCTAGCAAAATTGATTTGCCCTCCAACCCCAAATCTCTGGCGACACCTATGGCAGGCTGCCACCACTGAACCGAGACCGACGGTTCCCGCGCTTATGAGCAAATGTCCCTCTCTGTAACAAAGTCCATTCCCAACCCCCTGCCCTTACTAACAATGTCCTTTTATGGTCCTCGTTCCTTACCTGTGACGCCTGTCCTGACCCGCTTCTGATTGGTGTTATGATATGACGTACATGTGTGACGTATGTATGACGCGTGGTATATGTCGCGCCGGAGCGGGCCGAAGCCCCGGCAGTCGAGTCGAGTCGCAGTCGCAGTCGGACCGAGTGAGGGCCGCTCCCTCACCGGTCGCTTATCTTCACTTGTTCTTTTCGGCTCGTCATCTCGTTTGAACTCATTGTCTCGGACATTCAAATATAGTGAAAAGTGAAACGCTGCATTTTATTCACGAACTTTATTACAAGATAATTTGGTGCCGTGACCCGGATAACGTCGGGCAAAGACTTTTTGAAAAATTTTGCGCGTCTTCGACTCATCTCTGGCGGACTTCTGGGCATCTAGACATCTCTTCACTACAAGGCAGCGGAACAGTGAGCCATTCCATCCTTTTCTTCTTTAAAAACACTCTCGCTTTCATTGTTTGTTTCTTTGTGTCACTGAATTGTTTGAAAAATGACCGAGGCCTCAATTGTTACGACAGCTCTTAATAGTGTGGTGCAAGAGATCCGAATATCAAGCTTAACTAAACACGTCAGGCCCTTCCACGGCGAGGGGACAGCTAAATTTTATCAATGGCTAACGGATATGGACCAGCTTTCGAACACAGTTGACTCAGACAGGATGTGTGTTCTGGCCACCCTTACTCTCGGGGGACCAGCCGGGCTTTTCGTGGCCCGCCTGACAAAAACTCACATTACTTGGACGGAACTACGGGAAAAGCTCAGGAAAAGGTACGGAGAGACGGAGGATCCTCGTATCTCAAAAGAAAAAATCCGTCATATTAAACAGAACAAAGGAGAAGCAGTACACAACTTTGCGGAAAGACTTCGCGCCGCCGCGGCTGACATGTTTTCTGACATTGACAGCCCCGACGCCCAGGACGTACTAACGGACACCTTTCAGCGGGGACTGAGAGACGATCGACTTGCTAGGACACTGATTAGGAAGAACTGTAAAACGTTGGACGAGCTGGAACATGAAGCGGAACAGGAGACAAGGACGGACAAAATATTTAGTTTGTACCGTAGGGACGAGGAACCAATGGACGTAGACATAGTGAAAAAGGACGAGGTAGAGGAACTGAGGAAAAAAGTGACTGACTTGGAAAAGAAACTGGGACAACGAAATGCGACACAAAACCGCGGACAGACACAAAGACAAAACCGACCACGTGCGACGACGACACGACCACCTGTACCTCCTCCACCGCCTCACATGTACGCTCCGACACAACCGAGGCCACCACCGCCACACATGTACGTGCCGACACAACCACCTGTACCACCGCCGCCGCCTCACATGTATAACATGCCACCGCCTCCACAACCACACCGCCACAAATGGACACAAGACGGCCGGCCAATCTGCTCTGTCTGTGGACGGATCGGCCACACCAGCAGATTCTGCCGGGCGGAAAACTGAAAAGGGCCCCTGGGAAAGACGGACCTCCTAGGCGGGCCCAAACAAACGGTGGTCCAAGAGACCCCGTTTCATCCAATATTCAAAATGGCCCCCAAATTGCGCGCGTCTCGGTAAAACCTGACACACCAATGTGCTGGTTACATTTAGGAGGTAGGAAAACGTATGCTCTTGTGGATTCAGGTGCGGATATTTCATTGATCTCTAAGGAGGCTTTTGACAAAATTCCAAGGAAAAATATTCGCGAGTTTTCAACTGCGGACTGCACCCCTCTCCAATCAGTGTCAGGACATAGGCTGGAAAATTTTGCAACGGCTGTGGTTCAGGTCAGTATCGCTGGTTTTGATCAGCCCTACCGTTTTCAGGTTGTTAAGGGGCTCAAAAATCAGTGCATCTTGGGAAATGACTTTCTGACGGAATTCTCGGCTAAACTGGACTTCGGACAAAGAACTCTGAACTTGGATGGTCATATCATCCCTCTTCGACCCCAAAAACTTACATGTCATTCTGCAACTTCGCTCATTCGTCTGTCGGAACCGGTCACAATTCCCGCTCAGTCATACATGGAAATTCCTGCAAAAGTAAATCGTGACCAGCTCATTAACCAGGATTGTTTAGTACAGCCGCTCAACAATGTTCCGATTTTGGGAGACGAACCTGGTCTTTCGTTAGTAAGTAGTGTGAGCAAGGTCATCGAAACACGTCAGATTGCTGTAGTCATTGTTAACGCCACCGGCAGGGACTATACGTTGCCCGCTCGCTCTGTGGTTGGGATTGCTGAGGTTATTGAGGACATTGAATCATGCATTTCGTCTGTGAACCAACCCAGTCAGGATTCAGCAGGACCGGATGACATTCCGGAAATTCAAAAGGCTGACTTGTCTCATATGTCCGAGCAACAGCGCCAAAAGTTAGTGGCTTTATTGGAACGTAACAGTGACCTCTTTGCTAAAAATGATTGTGAATTAGGAAGGACTCATCTTTTGAAAGCGAAAATTGACACTGGCGACCATCCTCCTATTAAACAAAATCCATATCGGCTACCATTCAGTCAACGACAACTAGTGCAAGAACATATTGATAACATGTTAAAAGCAGGTGTGATTTCTCCCAGTCAAAGTCCGTGGGCAAGCCCCATTGTGATAGTGGACAAAAAGGACGGATCAAAAAGATTTTGCGTGGATTTGCGTGCGTTAAATCGGATTACCAAAAAGAACAGTCACCCCTTGCCACGTATCGACGATATACTGGCCTCACTTGATGGATCAAAATATTTTTCGTGTCTGGACCTCCGCAGCGGCTATTGGCAAATTCCTATGGATGAGGACTCAAAAGAAAAGACTGCATTTACTTGTTTTGCAGGTTTACATCATTTCAATGTACTTCCATTTGGATTGGTTTCGGCACCTGGTATTTTTTCTGAGCTTATGAACGAGGTTCTGCGCGGAATTCAGTACAAATTTACCATAGCTTATTTGGACGATATCCTGATTTATTCAAAAACGTTTGAGGACCATCTGGAACATATTGACGCTGTCTTTTCGCGGTTACGGAACGCCGGACTAAAAATGAAAATGTCGAAGTGCGAGTTCTTGAAAAAGGAGGTAAATTATTTAGGCCATGTCGTTTCCGCCAGTGGTGTCAAACCGGATCCAGCAAAAGTTAGTGTTATTCAAAATCTAGAGCCACCAACGGACGTCAGAGGCGTTCGTTCATTTATAGGCATGTGTTCCTACTACCGCCGGTTTGTGCCTCATTTTGCAAAAATAGCCAAACCGCTAACCGAACTGACCAAAAAGAATCGCAATTTCGTTTGGACAGATGCATGCCAAACCGCTTTTGAGACCTTACGTACCTCACTTACTCATGCTCCCATACTTGCTTTTCCGGATGTCGAAAAACCTTACAAATTGTATACGGATGCGTCAAATTATGCGATCGGTGCGGCTTTAGTTCAGGATAGTCCATTTGGCGAACGTGTAATTCAATACTTATCTCATCAATTAAACGAAACTCAACAGCGCTGGCCAATCATCGAAAAGGAAGCTTACGCGATTGTGTTCAGTGTCCAAAAATTCCGACCGTACTTGTTAGGATCAAAATTCACTGTATTAACAGACCATAAACCTCTTCAACATTTATTTACAAGCGAAATGAAAAATGCTAGGATACAAAGATGGGCTATCATGTTGGATGAGTACGGGTGTAATGTAGAATACGTGAGTGGCAGCAGGAATGTTGTCGCTGACGCATTGTCACGCTTTGGCCGACCAGCGACGAATGATTCGTCACCAGGCCCCACTGATTACGTGAGCCGGAAGGAGGAAAGCGTTTGTGGACAATGCAATGTAAATAGTGTAGATAGACGTAGTGTTCATGTTATAGATTCGGATGTTGCACCTGCCGTGCAACTGGAAACAGATATTACTTGTGAAGACGCTGAGGAGAACAAAAAGGAGAAGTTTCGTGAGTTTTTGAACAATCATCCCGACTTTCAAACACTCCAGTCCGAGGACGCTAAGATTCAGCGAATTGTGAAAATTTTGAAGGATCCAACCCACCCAAATCATGTTAGTATAGCAAAGTTTTATGTCATGGACGACGGCTTATTGTACCGGGTTTCTGAACCGACAAAGTGCGAAAATTTTGTGGGCATGCAACTTGTTATTCCGGAGTTTCTGCAAAAACCGTTGATTGACGAGGTACATTCGGGTTATTTTGGCGGTCACCTAGGTATTGACAAAACATATGACAAACTGCGTTCTCGTTATTACTGGTCCGGCATGTATAGAGATGTTGTACAGTTTGTGAGGGGCTGTGTTGCCTGCAACATGAGGAAATTAAAACGTCAGCGTCCCCCGTTACAAAACATGCAAGTCCCCAAATATCCTTTTGAACAGATAGCCATAGATACTTCAGGTCCGTTCCCAGAGAGTTATTCAGGAAATCGTTACATTGTCAATATCATTGACTTATTTTCAGGATGGCCGGAATCGTTTGCAACGTCGTCCAAATCCGCCGATACTGTAGCAAAAATTTTGGTTGAGCATATAATTCCGTGGCATTCATGTCCCCGTGTCATTGTCTCTGATAATGGAACAGAATTCTGTAACGCTGTCATTGATCAACTGTCCGCCTTCTTCAATATCAAACACATTAAAACGTCGGTATATCACCCTCAGTCCAACGGCAAGGTTGAGCGATTCAATAGAGTACAAAATGATGCATTAGCTAAACTCGTAGACTCTTCTTACAGAGACTGGGATACAAAGATACCTGGTATTTTATCTGCATATAGAACCGCAAGACATGAAAGCACAAAGTATTCCCCGTTTTTCATACTTTTCGGACGTGATCCCGTTCTTCCGTGTGATACCCTACTTGCCCCAAAGATTCGCTACCACGGCGAGGAATATCTCCCAACCATGCTGGAAAATATGCACAAGGCTCATCATCATGTTCAGCATAATTTAGCTCAAAGTCATGAAAGGAACAGGCTTTACTATGATAGGAAGGCCAAACCAGTGCAACTAAAACCAGGGGATATGGTATACTTTAGGGATCCGACGGATGCAGCTCGGCCATCAAAATTAGCTTCAAACTGGAAACCATATTACCGCATAGTCAAGGCTCTTAGTGACGTCACTTTCGTTATCAAACATCAGTTATCGGGACAAACCAAAGTGGTGAACGCTCACAACCTCCGACAGGCAAACGCAGAAAACATGTGGAAATACACTTCCGACGAACCATCCTACATTGACAGCAAATATCAACAAAAACGCAGGTCTCACATTCCCATCAGAGTTCAGCCACCCAGGCAATCAAAATATTCTGCTACACAGGATCATGAGCTGTTGGACTTTTACGACGCACCAGTACGTACGCCGCACACTTTGGACCGACGTGACCCACAGGACCAGGCGACTGCTGATGTAGGTGACAGTTCAAATGACTCCATGGCGCCGCAAATTCTTTCGGAACCCCCTGACATTTCTGACAATAATTCGGAGGATTCTTCGGACAACGTACCTCTTGCTGAACTTCAAAGACGCTGGAAACGCCAATACTCTGATTCGGACCCTGAGGACAATATACCTTTGGCAAAATTAGCGAAACAATTATCCGAAGGTGCCACGGAAACACCTACTGAGACTCCGAGGGAATCGGTTAAAAGACCACGCATTCTGTCCGACACCCAAAATTCAGAGGATGAAACTCGGTCACCGCCCGAAAAATCTGGCAAATACGATGTAAGCAGTTCGGAATCTGAAACCTCGGACCTGGAAGGATCTGACGCTGGTGAATGTTGTGTGAGTGTGAATGCAACTAACCCCGGTGTGAATGAGTCCAGTACAAAAGCAATTGCAATGCAGGTGATTGAGAATTATGGAGCCACAATGGAGAGAATGCTGGCTCAACTGTTGAAGTCATAGGATATGTTATAGGTTTTACTTGTAGTTTACAGGCTAGTGTGCCTAAGTTTTGGAATCAGGCCGTAGTGCCATTGGATTGTGAATTGTTGTGGATCAGGCTAGTGCGCCTCAAACTTTGGATTCGGCCAGCGTGCCATTGTGATATGGATTATGTGTTATGAACGATGGCATAGTGAGCCTATGCATTGTGTTATGGCGGAAGCGCCTCATGGATAGGACAAGGAATTGAGAAGTGTTTGTGTTTGGAAAGATATATTGTGTCATGCTTTTAATGGACAGAGGACCATTTAGTTTATGTTATATTTGACCCGTGCGTCATTTTGTCACCAATGTGCTTGTGTGTTAATCATGTCGTTATCCGTCAGTGACTTTCGTTTGTGTGCTTGCAGATATGGAAGCGAGACTGTTTATCCTAATGCCTCTCTTGCTGGACACTGCTTCGACCAACGCTCTCTTCTTCCCACGTGCTTCTCTGTACGCCACCTACGACTTCTGGCGAATCAACCTGCCCATTGAGACCCGAACGACGTGGAAACTAGCATCGAAACTTGAGTACCGATTGTGTGACTTTTCGAAGCACAATAGCTGTAAATGTATTTTGAATATAATTGTTGGAATTAATCATGAAAGCTTGTTGACTTTTATCTCCAATAATTGTTTTAATTTCATGTCATTTGACTTTTGTCAATGGTTAAGACTTCTACGTCACCGTTTAATAAGTAGTAAATGTAAATGTGTTTCGCGGATTTCGGGTCTAAGTCTTTGCCCTTCTGTCCTGCTACGCCGTTACATCCCCGACTCAAATCCTGACCCCGGCTCAGCTGTGACGCCCCAAGACACGACCGACGCTGCAACGTTCAATGACCTGACCCGACCGGTCAGCACCGCTTGTCCGAACAAAGACAGTCGTCCCGATTCAACCCCGTCACCAGACGACACAAAACCTCCTATTGCGCACCAACCCGACAAGATATGCTTACGCCCGGTTTCTAGCCGGCAGGGTGTGAACGCGGCGACCTCGACCGGATGGCTCCGATGACTGGTTCGTCAGCGCTGGCCTCGCCACCCGAGCCAGCGGCGCTGTTGACAAATGTCAGCGCCGGCCGGCCCCGTGACGTCCGGTGTCATACTGACTGACACCCCATCACTGCTGACGTCGGTGGGAGCCGCCGAACAACGAACTGACACCGGTCATCTGACATCATCGGGGGGCCATCCGTGTCATCGCCGGTCACCATTCTTCATCGCACGCTTCACCGCTTGGCTGGCACGCGCGCACGCCCGACGTAAGCCGAAGCAAGTCGCCGTCGCGAGGCTGCCGCTGCCGCCGCACTGCTGTAGTCGTCACTCCGCTTCGCCCTGCACGACTTCGCTCGCTCTCTGCTTCGACTGGCCGGCGTCAGGCGTTCGCTGACGTAAGTCGAGACAAGTTCGCCGTCGCGATGCTGCCCGCCGTTGCCCTCACAGCGCCACCTAGCGGTTGCGGACAAACGCCACCTAGCGTTATGAACGCTGCGAGCGCCACCTAGCGCTGCGTGCTCTAAAGACAGACGCCATCTAGCGAGTGAGTGCGGTGAAAGGAAACAATAGAGTGACTGCGAGGAACATGATGAATGAAAGTGAATGCGCAATTGGACCAAACGGGTGAGACATTTGATTTTAGATCCGGACTATAAATGAATATCGCGGACGGTGCTAAGGTCGGACATTTCGGAAAAAGAACTCTACTACAAGGACTACAACAAAATGGGGACATGGGGAAAAAGTGTATTGTTTGTGTACTGTTATATGATAGTGTTGCATTTGACTGTATTGTGTCGTATATTATGCTATGTCGTTTATGTTGCATTGTGTATGTGTGTTTGTTGTGTGATAACTAACGTGTGTTGTACGTTATATCATGCATCATATCGGAAGCATTCCAAGACGAAAATCTTCATTTAAGATTTTAGCTTTTAGGACCTTGCGTTGTGGTGTAACAAAGTCCATTCCCAACCCCCTGCCCTTACTAACAATGTCCTTTTATGGTCCTCGTTCCTTACCTGTGACGCCTGTCCTGACCCGCTTCTGATTGGTGTTATGATATGACGTACATGTGTGACGTATGTATGACGCGTGGTATATGTCGCGCCGGAGCGGGCCGAAGCCCCGGCAGTCGAGTCGAGTCGCAGTCGCAGTCGGACCGAGTGAGGGCCGCTCCCTCACCGGTCGCTTATCTTCACTTGTTCTTTTCGGCTCGTCATCTCGTTTGAACTCATTGTCTCGGACATTCAAATATAGTGAAAAGTGAAACGCTGCATTTTATTCACGAACTTTATTACACTCTCGCAGCATCAGGAATCGATAACAATTGCCCTTTTTTTGTAAAATAGCACGGAAACTTGACAAATTTTACTGGAACAGGTTTGACTTGAACCTAGCCGGCTGAAGAGGAAGGACGATACCCCTCCCCCCCCCCCCCACACACACACACAATAAGAGTTTTTCGCGATAGCTCAGAACACGCTGGAGAGCTGAAATTTGGCATAGGTAACCTGACCTTTAATTCAAGCCGTATCTTGCGAACGGGCCCATTGGGAGCGAATGAGATGCTCTCTCGGGCTCTATGGGACCGTTCTGAGTCAAAATATGGCTATCGAGCTACGGTAACAAGGCAACGAAGTTACAACGCATACCGGCGCACCACAGAGTCACAGACCCTCGGCGGCCAATCGGCGCCGCAGGGTCCCTCAGGCCCGAGGGATCTCTAAAGCCTGAACCCGATGGGGCACACGCCCCCTGGCCTGGCAACACCACTGACATAAGGCGGTAGAGCTGCGCACCTAACTAACACGTCTGTGTCCCTTTTCAAAGTTTCTTAGCCGGGAAAAAAAATTCATCGATTTCAGACACTTCGAAGAGGACCCCCCCCCCCCCCCCGCCTTAAAATATCCGCTAGTACCTACCCAAGGAAAGTTGCCCAAATTGTTGCCGGCCACCAGAGCCATAGCTCCATGGACAATGCATGGAGTGAGCACCCGTTTGCTGTTGACACAAGACAAAAGACATGTGACACTGACAGACATTCAGACTGAGTTTCAGGATTTACTTGAAAGTTATTCAGGGTACAGAGTCCTCTTTACAGATGGTTCTAAAATCAACACGTCTGTCAGCTGTGCGTTTACAATTAATAATGCTTTTTATTCATTTAAGCTCCAGGCAGGCCTCTCAATCTATACCGCAGAGTTAGTAGCGATAAGGGAGGCTTTGAAATACGTGCGAGATAACCGGTTAAGTAGAACTCTGATATGCACAGATTCGATGGCGGCGATAAAGGCGCTTAACAGCCCCACAGGAGATCACCCGGTGCTTCAAGAGATCCTAGAGATCAACCACGCCATCAACTGTGCTGAATATGAATGTGTTCTGGTCTGGATACCAGGACATAGTGGTATTGCCGGGAATGTGAGGGCAGATTACTGGGCTAGGAAGGCACATGAGAAACCAAATGTGACAATGGTTAGGGTTTGTTATCGGGAATATGTACCAGCTGTACGCAAGTGTATCCGCGATCGTTTTGCGATGATGTGGCAGAATTATCGTCACACCCACTTGAAACTTATCAAACCGAATGTTGGATTATGGTCGTCTAGCATGCGTGATAGTCGGAAGGAGGAAGTGGTATTGTGTCGTCTTAGACTTGGCCATACCTTACTTACTCATTCGTACATACTCGATCGCATTCCAGCTCCGATGTGTGACACATGTCGATGCCAGCAAGATGTTCAACACATTCTCCTGGACTGTCGACTGTACCGAGTGCAAAGACGTAGACTGTTATCGACCTGTAGGAACCTCGGCATTCGGCCAACAGTGGCTTCCCTGTTGGGGAATGACGATAGTTGTATCATTGATGCATTGTTCCTCTATCTTCGAGACTGTGACCTCCTCGATAAGCTGTAACAATTCTTGTTATGGTGTTAATACATTGATTTGAATTGGTTCATATTACCGCAGCCAACACGGTTGGTTAAGTGGTGAGCGGGCTAGGAGTGAAGCTGATCTGACAAAATGCGGTGGTTGTTCCTGTCATCATGATTCTGTTGATATGAGTGACTGTCCGTTATTCTGTTCTGTGCTGTTTTCTCTGTCCGATACTGGTCACTTACGTGAGAACTGGCCGTCTCCGTTTTGTGCTGTCCCCGAGGGCTTGTGTTGTGAGGGGACTGGGCATCGGGGCACATGGGAGGCAACCTCTTTCCTGAACTGAAGTCCTTCCTAAGTTGTATGTAGCAGTATCTAGAATTATTTTAAGTTGTCCAACTCTCCAGCCCGAGGGCTGAGGATTCCAATTTGAAATAGCTAGATTGCTTCACATAATGCTGAACTACTAACACTAACATAAACTTCAAGATTCTTCATCAACTTCATCAACTTCTCCCTCCTAAGGTTATTCCTCCCTGGCAATTTCCTCCCTGCGCAATTTCCTTACCTTGGTATCTCCTTACTCCTTCCATTGTCACCCGCTTAGTACCGCTTAGTACCGACGCCTTGGTACCGAACAAGAAAGGACGTGACTACTAGTCAAGAGAACGACTACAGTGAAGTTGGACGCTTGGGTCGCAAGGCTACGCGTCCTATTCCAACAACAACAACAACATACCCAAGGAAAGTAACTCAGAGAAGCATTGGCCATTGGTAGTTATAAGAATCTTCCTTATACAAATGACTAATGAAACATAAGATAAGGTCAGATAGGTAAGATAGTCGGTATGCGACAAAATTACTTGGCTTTTTCAAGTAATATACCCATAATCATTGAACATTCAGAAATCGTACCACGCTTCGGTACCATAGGACATTCACCTCACACCTCGTCCCTCGAGGATACAGACAATGCCAAGTTTCGTTCGCAAAAAATGCGGATCACCGCTGAGCAAGACTTAGTGTCTAATGCCCTGGGTAAGACCTTTAGTGCCCTAGACAAGACAAGCACAAAGCCAGTCTCCGGTAGCTGAGCTGACACCTATCGGCCGTCACTAGAACTAACAGGCACTGACGAGAGATTGGGGATTCGGGACAGCCGCAAGGGGTATTCGTGTATCGCATATAGCCCTAGTCTCATTGTGTGGTAAGCATCGTGTTTCGACGAAACTAAAACCAGCTCAAAGACTACACCATAAGGGACAAGTATGATGCATCACCCCCAATATTGAGCCCATCTTTGATCTAAAATTGCGCTTTGAGTGAAACTCAATGAATTCCAGTCTAGTCTTGTGCCTGGAGTTTCGGTGTTGCAGTCAAATTTAGCTACTTTCACGATCTCACCCACGTCGAAATCAGATCCATCCACCAGATATCAACGGTTCCTGTGTTAACTATTTCGTCCGACGGGCATGTATTTCTGTTCACAAATCACGATTAACAGAACTGGGGAGGCGGTACAGCTCACTCGGTGGCAGACACAGATGGCGCTAGCTGTCCGGCTAACCAGGTAGTTAGTTACCAGGTAGTAGTTACAGGTAGCGCCAGCGTCGACAGAGGCCCTCGCTCGTCACTGCTCTGCTTTCCGCCGACACCGGCCGGCGGCTGTGAACCCCTCCCTGTGCTGGAACTGGATCAGCACGGCCCAACGACGCTGCACCCGTCATACACGACCAGCCGGGCCTCGCCCAGTGGCATATGACACAGCTCAGACTCCAGGGTGCCTACAGTGGGCCTTGTGTTAGCTCAGTCCAGACACGCATACAGGGCCTCCTCTGTTCGGCTCAGCCCAGCCACGTCCGTAGCGCCGTCCACTGCTCAGCCGCCGCGGTGACTCTCAATCTCTCCGGACACCGTAGGAAAGTGATCCCCCGCCCCGGGAACCACGAGATATCGCGGCCGCAACAGCCGCCAACCCACACTAGGGCTCCGAGAGGAGTCGGCCTCAGAAAGTCCATCACTTGGAGTCGGCTGGCCGCTTCAGACTCTTGGCTAGCACGTGTGCGTTGGCTGGCTCTATCCGCTTATAGTAGTGCTCCTCTGTTGATACGATCTCGAAGCCGAATTTCTTGTAGAAGTTGATTGCACTCTCGTTATTAATTTGCACGTGCCTGCGAAATTGGACTTGGTGAACTGATGGTATTAAGGTTAGTGTTACGGATCTTATTATTAGTTGTATCTTATACATGTGGTATTATGGCATAGCATATAGTATTGCAGCAGCCTTTATGCTATGAACAATATGCTACTGAATTTAGCATCCGACGCACGAAAGCCATATTATCGCAATAAACCTCCCAAATGCCCGACGGACGCAGCGAAACTAAACACGGAATGTTAAAAATGTGGGGATTCACGTAGCGAGGGAGGGGGAACTTTATAAGCTGGCCAGCAGAATGAAAAAAAAAAACGTATCGCGTCACGTTTGTCATTCCGTGACAGTAGAGAGGAGGCATCGTCAACCAGCCCCTGGTATCCCAGCAGGTGGCGTCCACACCACGGAGCCTGTGTGTCATATCCCCTGACATCTCACGGGTCTCCAGCAGTGTGGGCCGGTCATAACCGGATAAACTGACTACAGCTAACCACTACAACTGTAACTGTGTAACGTGTTACTAACTAACCTGTGTGATCCGCGCGGTGTCAACATGAGTATTTTGTGTCAGTAGAACCAGCTTCGGATGGAAGTTAAAGACCTTTTTCTCACCTTTCTCACAGGGAAAGCATTGGGGCACTCAGCACACTACAAATACTTTTGAAAAACGCATAAAATGTACTGGAAAAATTATAAAGCCTCCCCCGCCCTTTTGTCCGAATGGATGAATGGGTGGCTATGGGCCCGGGT